TGAAAAAGGTTCTCAATAGGTAGGTGTACAAGATTTTATATTTGATAATAATACTACAAAATGACACACAAGACAGAATAGTATACAGAGGGTGTTAACAAATGAGTGTCACAACGAAAAACTGCAGATTCCTAATGAAGAGAAAACAATTTGTCCCTTTCGAAATTTTTCTCCGAGCTTCCGTTTTCAAGATAAAGGGCGTCAAAAAAATACAAAAAAATATCTGTTTGTTGCGCTACTATCTTAAGGACCGTTTGAGCTACGGAGTTAAGCCGTACACACTTCCTCATCAATAATAACTACTTTTAGGGCTCTTGATGAATTTCCTTGGACATGTCAGTGGAGGAGAATTCAACGCCTCGTAAGGGTTTAACCCCCCAAATATTTATGCCACTGGAGAAATTGTAATTTTCAAAGTAGATTCTGAAGCGCCAATATCTTTCACAAAAAAAAACGTCCTCTTGTCTCAATTCTCTAAAGTGAACACTTTCCGCGAAAAATGGCGCTTTATGGATAAGAACATACAAAATCCTGATGGTATCTCCAGAAATCGTCTAAAAAGTCAAGTTTATTAAGTATGTTGTAAAGTGTGTTTAATTAAACTGAACATTTTTGATTTTTTGACGCCTTGTATCTTGAAAACGAAAGCCCGGAGAAAAATTTTGAAGAGGAGAGAAATGTTTCTTTTATTACGAGGAATCTACAGTTTTCCGTTGTGACACTTATTTGTTAACACCCTGTATACATAGATCATTTATCATCATTTTCAACAATACAAAAATAGTACGGAAAAGTAACTGTGTCTACGGCTACTCTTGTATTACTGTGATTGATTCATCAAATCAATGAGGTACTCTGTATATCATCAATTTTATTTCCGTATCTGATATCACAGTGTCTCCAATCTCCATTGTATACTATTATTTCAACAAAATCTCATCGCTCATGGAATGTCAAATTTGTAGTGCGCGAATGTAGGAATGCCCATAAATCACCCTGTAAGTGCGATTGGCTAGTCTGCTATGAATCGCTCTGTATTTTGCTGAGAAGCCGTGATGTTTTTTTTGTTGGACGTTTGGAGTTGCCATGGAAAGGGAACAACAAGTTTTTTGTTAATGGTTGGTTCGGCGAGGGTGTTTTTGATCGCCAAGAATCGAAAGTGTAGACTTGAAGGAAAGAACCACAAAAATCCGCTATTGCTTCATAATCCAAAGATCAGAAGAATCTTCATCAACGTAGACAATCTACGGTGATTTCATGTACGAGTGTTCCAGAGCACGATACGAAACTGCAAGATTCCTGCTAGGCTAGCAGTAGAATTGGAGGTCAGCAGAAGCCATCAGGTATTCAGGGGATTCTGAACCACACTGACTTTGAATTCGATAGAAATAAAGCATTAATAAAATTATCTGACTTTCAATGCACAAATCCTGAGATATCTTGAGAGATTCTATTGCAAATTTCGAGCAATGACAGCTCTGTCTAATAATGGAGCTTGAGAGGAAATCAGATGGCCACCAGTGCCGGATTTAGGGGGGGCTATGGGACTATCAGCCCCCGGCGGTGAATTTCTAGAGGCGGTAGAGAAAAAGAGAAAAGAGGAAAAGCAATCTAGTGTTAGCTGTGTCTTGGACGCTACAATACAAAAGCGGCGGCGGTACATACTTTTATTTGACGATGAGAAGAAAAACCGCATTCTACTCGTCTAACTCAATAACAAAAAACAAAATCAGAGTTCAGTATTTAGTAGGTTGTCGTTGGTATTGTTGCAATGGTACTAAAAATGAATAAATATTGAAACTTAAATTTGAAAAAATGAGTAAAAAAGAAGGTGGTGCATTCTGGAAACGGCAGAAGATCAATAAACAAAAGCAGCTAGACGAAGTTGTCAAGAAATGCCCTAGCTAGAATACAATTTTTTTTTTAAATTCAAATGAGACAGAATTAGAACCGACAGAACCGTCTCCGGGAACTTCACGATCTCAAGACGGGAATGGTAAGTTTTATATTTTGTTAAATTCAATACGCGAAAAAGAAGGGTCAGAATCTCAAAAATAGATGATCAAAATATGAACAGGACTATATAAGCGCTGTTTTAGGGATAATCACAAAAAATTCCTAATTCATTGAATATTGGCAATTACTGAGATATTTTTTATTATCCCTGATGATTAGTAATGCCAGTGAAAGGTCATTATCAACTTTGAAAAGAGTGAAAAACTACCTTAGGAATTCCATGGTAGAGGATATATTGAATATCTTATCAATTTTAAGTATATTAACGGTGACATGTTATTGAATCTGAATTTTGATGATGCCATTTTGACGACATTAATTGCATCAATAAAATCAAAAGTATTTTAGTAATCATCTGAAAAAAATATTTGTTGTTTGTTATGTTCAACGTGTGAAGTAAATATAATTTGATTCCTTGTACATAATGATTTCATGTTATTGTTATATGATGTAAAAAAAGCAGTGAAAGTATTATTTGAATTTAGAAACTGACAATTGAAAATTAAATATTTGGCGGCGGCGCGGCGATATCGTAAAAGTTAGCCCCCGGCGTAAGGTAGTATAAATCCGGCACTGATGGCCACAAGACCAAGAAATCAAAAATGCCACTGTTATCTGTTACAGCCGTAGATAAATTAAAGTGTATAACTCGCATGGAATGGTAATTTCCCACTTGAATGATTGCAGCATATTCGCCCACGGCTCATGCTGCAAACAATATAATATTTTCACCACAATAGTGTTTATTGAAAAGTACACACCATACAGAAAAATGTAACTTTACGTACTCAAATCTATGCTGAAAAATACTAGGTACTTTGCGCACGCTCCTAGGAGAGGTAAATTAGCAAGGCCTAATGGGGACGCCTTCCAGGGTATAATAGGTATAGGGATATGACAGATTCAAAATTGTACAAAAACATACACACACAATACTTATACATATATAATATCCAGAAGTTCAAAAAAAAATTCAATACCTGCCTCATCCTATCCCTATCCTCCCTAGGACCGCACGATGTTCTTTGAACATTATAGGGATTCCCTTTCGTGCGATCCAAGCGACAAAAAAAAATTAATTGCATCCTTATTAACAACAAAACATGTAAATAAATAGTCCTTTTTGACAAAATTCTTAATAACGATGTTATTACTTCAATTTCTGTTACATTTCAATATAATTATTATACAGGGTGTTTCTTAAGTACGTGTAGAAAATTCTGGAGCATGTTGCTGACAAAATAAGAAGAAAACTTCGTAATAACATATGTCCGAAAGTTATCCGTTTCTGAGATACGGCGTGTCAGAGTTGAATTCTTATTTCTGTTAATAATTTTCAAAATAATTGTGATATTGGAATGAAATTTGGTATCTCTAGGAGTATTTTTCGATGAAAATATCAAATTTCATGTTAGTTTGTCTCTTTCGTAGGGGTGGCGCCACCTACATGTCTTTTGAAGTCATAACTATTTTGTGCGTACCTATGTAACGTTTAACAGTTGAAAAATAGATTTCTAGAACACTTCCGTGTAAAAAATGTATTATCGGTAGAGGTCGCTGCGAGCAACTGTTTTCGAGTTATTGGGAATTGAAATAATCAATGCAAGTAATTTGAAAATTGATCCATTAAGTAAGGACAATTATTTTCTTTTGATTTCATTGAAAAATAGGAATTGGGAGTTATTACAATTCGATACTAATAATGATAACAGTAATCAAGACCAAAATGATACTAAAACAGTTAGTTGAGAAAGCTTGGATCACAAAAAATACAGAAGACAACAAAATGTTGGAGGTTCATGCTTTACAACCTGACGCCCTGTATATGGTCACCGATGTTATGATATAATATGTAAAGAATGTGTCATGTTATGAGTTGTTGTTATTAACTGTCTGTCAATTAGATTGATTAAAAAGTCAGTTCTACCATATATTTATTGGAGTTTTTACTCGGATTTGCTGTGCAATTCTCTGCAGAATCCTTTATAGTATTCACACACAAACTTCACTGTCACAAGAACGGATTGTAAAATCATGACAAGTACTCACTTGATTGTTATTATGTTGAATTGGAAGAGTCCAAAAAAGTAGGTACAAAGAAGTAGGAATCATATTTTGCCTACATTCCAATGTTGAATGTAGGAGAATATTGAATATTCAAATCCCCAGGTATATATTTTTTACACAAAAGTGCTCTAGAAATCTATTTTGCTACTATGAAACGGTATACAGGTGCACACAAAAATGTTATAACATTTCAAAAGACTCGCGAAAGACATTGTAGGTGGCGCCACCCCCACGAAAGAGACAAACTAACATAAAATTTGATATTATCATTGAAAATCACCCCTAGATACCGAATTTCATTCCAATATCATGATTATTTTGGAATTCATAAAAAAAAAACAATAATAAGAATTCAACTTTGACACTCTGTATCTCAAAAATGAATAACTTTTGGACATATATTTATATGAACTTTTCTTCTTATTTTGATGTCAGCAACATGCTCCTGAATTTTCTACACATACTTAAGAAACACCCTGTATTATCATTTTAACTACCTACTTCAATTTCTTTATAGAAATTATTGGCAACTTCTATCATCAAGTCAGAGATCCTTCAAAACAATCAATATTTAAATAATTGAACTGATATGGTAGTATACATTTGTTGAGGAAAGTATTTTTGATATTCATTAATGTTATTTAATAGGTCTGTTTGTGTTGCTAAGCCTGCCAAGGTTGATTTTTTTTTCCATTGTTATCTCATATCATGGCACAATGTGAACAGAGATAGTGATAGAAAAAATTCAAGTTTGACAGATTAAGCCTTTATTTGTTTGTGTTTACTCTACCTAGTAAACTTGATTTTTTTCTATGACTTTCTCTGTTTATATCATGCCATGAACAGAGACAACTATGGAAACAAAATCAACTTTAACAAGTTTAGCAACACAAACCAACAGACCTAAAGTAACAAGCCTATTGTGAAAAATCTACAGGACTCCAATCACTCTCTTCATACTCCATTTTTATTATTATTGTTTCCATGTCCTCTGGTTCACAATCATCTTCAACTGTAACCTCATTGCATTCATTCTTGATAGTCTCAACAGGAACACTGTGCACTTCTTTATGATTAATCATTCGCCTGTTGGTAGGAAATTGTTCCAGGCAAATGTCACATTGAAACAGTTCATTCTTCTTAAGCATCCTTTGGTGCTGCTTGCTAAACTTTTTTGCATCATCACATTTAAATGTTTTTTTGTCCCTGTGAATTCCACTGTGCTTGATCAGATCATCCTTTGTAGCAAATCTTTCTGGGCATTTCACACATCCAAATGGGTTTTCCTCAAATCCTTCTTCATTTGAGGCACATTCAACATCTCTCTTCAACTTGTGACATTTTTCACTGTGAAGTCTACAACCCCTCTTGTTTGTGAATGTTTTCTGACACACATCACACTTGAATGGTTTCTCACCAGTGTGAACTCTAATGTGTCTTTTCAGATGGCTTGAGCTCACAAATCTGCTCTTACAAATGGTACATTTGAATGGTTTTTCACCTGTGTGTATTCTTTTATGTTCAGTTAAGCTACCATTAGTGGTGAAAGTTTTCTGACAAATCTTACATTGAAATGGGCTTTCTAAAGTATGTGATCTTTCTATATCCTCTAGTTCACAACCACCTTCAACTTTAACTTCATCATTTGAGGCACATTCAACATCTCTCTTCAACTTATGACATCTTTCCCTGTGAAGTCTAGAACTCCTCTTGGTTGTGAACGTTTTCTGACACACATCACACTCAAATGGTTTCTCACCTGTATGTACCCTAAGGTGCCTTTTCAGATGGCTTGAGTTTCCAAATCTGCTATTACAAATGCTACATTTGAATGGTTTTTCACCAGTGTGTATTCTTTCATGTAGAGTCAAGTTACCATTAGTGGTGAAAGTTTTCTGACAAATCTGGCATTCAAATGGTCTCTCTCCAGTATGTAATCTGAGGTGTCTAGCAAAACCTCCCTTGGAGTGGATTGTTTTATGGCAAATATCACACTCAAAGTCTCTTTCAGAGCTATGATGTACTTTCACATGACTGTACAAGTTGGACTTGAAACCAAACTTTGTGAAGCAAATGTCACACTGGAATGCTTTTATGCCAGTATGCACTGCATAGTGTTGAGTTAAGGTGCATAGGAATTTGAATCTTTTTTGACAAACATCACATTCAAATGGGTTTTTTATCCCATGTTCCTCATTCATGTGGTCATTCAAATTTGTTATATAAACAAAAGTCTTCTGGCATTCTTCACATTCTAATGGTATTTGATATTCCTCATTATTGTGGGTTCTAACATGATTGATCAAATATATCTTTTGTGTGAAATTCTTCTTGCAAATTTTGCATGATTTCTTTTGATTTTTTCTAATTGGTAATTTCCTCTTGTTGTACATGGTTGATTCTACAACTAGTTCTACTTCAAACAGTTTAAACTATTTTAATAAACCTCACTGTTGCTTTGATTCTCAGCTAATTTATATGGTATAAACACAGCATCATAGGATATTTGGGCTTCTCTTACATAATTATGGAGTATCTTACTTTCATCATTTCATAAATTACTGTTGAGAGAATAGGTATCCTGCTATCCTGAAGCTCACATCTTTATACAAATATGAAATGAGAATGCAATGGCTCTACATAAAGTTGTAAAAACTGTTGTTTTTTAATCATTATTGTCCTGTTTGAGCACTGAGATTTCCTGAAAGTATTATTTTCTCGTGGACTAGTGATAATTCTGAACTAATATCTAATTAATTATCAATTTAATGATGTTTATGTTATGTAACCTCTTTACACCTACGTGAAGTGGGCAGCCATCAGCCAAAGCTGGCTGCCAGTTTCCAGAATTTATTTCAGAACTTCTCGTTTGTTCAGTGTGTCCAGTGGCACGCGTTTCCCCCCTTTTTGGTTATCGAATACTCTTGTGATGATGCGATGTATGAAGAATAACTCGGCGATGTTGATAATAACAAGATCAAAATCAATCAGCGGGAATATCTAACCCATTATTATGATGGTTTATATTAAGTGTCCTAGAGCATCAGTTTAGTTGAAAAACCACACTCTGCACTTGCTTTTGGGTTTCGAATCATTCTCTATCGAATAATCATTCCTTACCAAAACATATAAAACTCTAACGTTTGAAATAGTAATTTTCCTAACAAGTGCGGAAAGTGATTAGGAGTTTGGTCTCTAGTTTCCAGACACTTTTATGAAATGAGCCAAGAATACCTATTCTTCATTCGGTTTTTTCATTTCTTTATTGTTGCACCATTCAATAAAATGCGTGTATAGCTTCTCATACCTTTCTTAAGACTTCGTTGGTGATAACGCATCTGTATCAAATCCCTATAGCTAGAAGTTTTTGATCACATTGTGGCATTTCCACTGAATCGAGAATGACAGTAACGCTGTGTCTGTCACTTCGACAATCTCAAACTCATTTGAGGTTTGATTGGCATGACAAATTGATGACGTTTCCCGTCAGATCAATCCAAATCTATAGGGGGATTTTTATAATAATCAATTTTTATTTCTCGATATTTCTTAATTTTTACAATGAATAGTGCAATTTGATGGATGATTCTGAACATACATACTTAATACTGCAACAAACAAACTTAAACTTTTATATTCCATCACCAACCACTTATATTACTAGCGATTTCATCATATCTTTGTTTTCCCGCACTAGTGTGGGAAAAAATTTCCCGCACTAGTGTGGGAAAATTTTCCCGCAAGGTTTTCTATCATGCAAGATAATTTCTTGCTGAAGCGTATGGTAGTCTCCACACGGAAAAATCGAAAATTTGGAAAATATTTTTTTTTCGATTATTTCTCAATAAACTGCACAGCAGCTAGCTTCTGTGTTCTGTGTCAGAAAAATAGGTAATCATGTGTAGAATCATGCAATCAAAGAATAATTCCTTATGAAATAATCGTATGGTAGGCGCCACACGAAAAAAAAAACAGAATTTTCAGCTGCTTTCGGGTCAGGAAGATAGGTAATCATGATATCGAAAAATAATTAATTGCACACGAAAAAAATGATTCGAGACCCAAAAGCAACTAATGTGCAGTGCTTATTGTTATTTTCAAGTAGGCTGCTCTCGGACACTTGATATCAATAATAGGTTAGATATTCCTGCTGATTGATTTTTTTGTTATTATCAACATTTCCAAGCTAACTTCATACATCGCATCATCGCAAACAAAAGCAATTGAGTTATTTCGACATTCAATACCAAAAAATTGGGAAAACGCGTGCTATTGGTCAATCGGAAAAGTTCGGAAGTTCTGGCATTCTCTTGAAGAATGAGATTTTATGGAGGTAGTAGAAGACTTCTGCGCTAGTTTCGGTTTCACAGTCCAGTGCGTTTCGGAGAAAACGAGTTTTTCCGAAGATCGAGGAAAAATGATAGTTTCCGATCTTCCGCAGGCTGAGCAAGTGGATTTTCTTGGAGAATGAGATGCTATGGATGTAGAAGAAAACTTCTGCGCTAGTTTCAGTCTTAGAGTCTGATACGTTTCTGTGAGAACGATTTTTTTCCGAAAATCAAGTGAAAAAGATAGCTTCCGATCTTCCGGAGGCTGCCGAAAATCGAGTGAAAATGATAGTTTTCGTTTTTCCGCAGGCTGAGCAAGTGATTTTTTCTTTGAGGAATAAGATTTAATATGAATGTAGTAGAATACTTAGTACAATCTCCGAAAATTTTAATTGAACTCGAGTTTTTCTACATTTTATTATGAATTAAATTTTGAATGTTGTCAAATCATTAGCAGTATAATGATCTCTGAGATTTTTAATGTGGTTTGATCGAAGTATTAAATCTGATTACATGGAATGAAGATGATCGAGAAAGATTTTTTTCAGGTTGAGCAGGTGAATCTTTCTGGAGAATAACATTTAAATCGCTGTGAAGTCGACATAATACCAGGTATTGATGTTTTATTCATCTGATATCATGTGCATGTGTAAGTCCTAATTGTATTCAATTTGAGTAATTAGATCATGAAGCTTTGATGTAATTGATTCATTTTCATTGAACACCCTGTATACATTGAATATATTGACCGCCCGCCACTGGTATCGTCTGTCGGGTAAGTTCGGAAATTTTAGCAGCCAGCTTATGCAGCCCGTTTCACACCGATAGGTTTACGATCGTCGACGATCGTCAAGGGTCATTGAATTATAAAAATACAAGAGTAAAAGCTGTCTTGTGAAGGGCTCAACAAATATTTCTATATTTTTGGTCTTAATGTGGTTTCTGCTATCATTTTTTCGGAAATGAACATAACTGCCTCAGAAATATAATAGGTACCCAGGTACCGGTATCCAGAAATGGAAATCGATCTGAAAGTTGTTTTCCAAGACCTTAATTTTCATTTGAAAGATGACCAAAAAGGCCCTCTGGAATGCATTCGTTTGTTGGATTTATTGAATAGAAATCTAACAGAAGAACAAGTGGACTCCTCACTTATAGGTAAGAGTTTTCATGGGTTCATATTTTCCAATACAGTAAACTTTAATGAATGCACTTATCATGCAACCAATGAACAACATTTTATGATGTGTATACAGTATACAGAGTGTTTCCTTGGGACAGTAACATTCCAGACCTAATTCTTTTTGATAGTTTCTGTTGGAGAGTTCATATAAATTTTCATATGGAAGGATTTACCCTACTCTACTATGCACCATCTAAGTTAGTGTGAAGTTATCCACGAAAATGCCAGCCACGTTTTCTGACGTGTAGGAAATCTAATGCGATATGGAATTGAAAATGTGTGGCTGGCATTTATCGCTTTTCCACGGTCTTGGGAATTGCTTTATATTCATTTTTATAACATATTGATTCATTATTTATACTCCAAGAACTGAAGAAAATATATTTCGGAAATTGAACCACCATAGAGGGGGCACAGTGAATCAAATTTATATAATTTAATACATTTTCGCCTGTACCTCATCTGAAACTTATTGTTCGTTGATGATTCTTCCACAAAAATATCAAGATATTCTCCAAGCACTCCAAAAAAAATATTTCGGAATTTGTACCACCGTAAGGGGGACAGGGTGAATTAAATTTATTAAATTAAATACATTTTCGCCTGTATCTCATCTGAAACTTCCTGTTCGTTAATGATTCTGCCACACAAATATCTAGTTATACTCCAAGAACTCGAAAAAAAATATTTCGGAATTTGTACCACCGTAGGGGGGACAGGGTGAATTAAATTTATTAAATTAAATACATTTTCGTCTGTATCTCATCTGAAACTTCCTGTTCGTTGATGATTCTGCTACACAAATATCTAGTTATACTCCAAGAACTCGAAAAAAAATATTTCGGAATTCGTACCACCGTAGGGGGGACAGGGTGAATTAAATTTATTGAATTAAATACATTTTCGTCTGTATCTCATCTGAAACTTCCTGTTCGTTGATGATTCTGCCACACAAATATCTAGTTATACTCCAAGAACTCGAAAAAAAATATTTCGGAATTTGTACCACCGTAGGGGGGATAGGGTGAATTAAATGTATTAAATTAAATACATTTTCGCCTGTATCTCATCTGAAACTTCCTGTTCGTTAATGATTCTGCCACACAAATATCGAGTTATACTCCAAGAACTCGAAAAAAAATATTTCGGAATTTGTACCACCGTAGGGGGGACAGGGTGAATTAAATTTATTAAATTAAATACATTTTCGTCTGTATCTCATCTGAAACTTCCTGTTCGTTGATGATTCTGCCACACAAATATCTAGTTATACTCCAAGAACTCGAAAAAAAATATTTCGGAATTTGTACCACCGTAGGGGGGATAGGGTGAATTAAATGTATTAAATTAAATACATTTTCGCCTGTATCTCATCTGAAACTTCCTGTTCGTTAATGATTCTTCCACACAAATATCTAGTTATACTCCAAGAACTCGAAAAAAAATATTTCGGAATTTGTACCACCGTAGGGGGGACAGGGTGAATTAAATTTATTAAATTAAATACATTTTCGTCTGTATCTCATCTGAAACTTCCTGTTCGTTGATGATTCTGCCACACAAATATCTAGTTATACTCCAAGGACTCGAAAAAAAATATTTCGGAATTTGTACCACCGTAGGGGGGACAGGGTGAATTAAATTTATTAAATTAAATATATTTTCGTCTGTATCTCATCTGAAACTTCCTGTTCGTTGATGATTCTGCCACACAAATATCTAGTTATACTCCAAGAACTCGAAAAAAAATATTTCGGAATTTGTACCACCGTAGGGGGGATAGGGTGAATTAAATGTATTAAATTAAATACATTTTCGCCTGTATCTCATCTGAAACTTCCTGTTCGTTAATGATTCTGCCACACAAATATCTAGTTATACTCCAAGAACTCGAAAAAAAAATATTTCGGAATTTGTACCACCGTAGGGGGGATAGGGTGAATTAAATGTATTAAATTAAATACATTTTCGCCTGTATCTCATCTGAAACTTCCTGTTCGTTGATGATTCAGCTACACAAATATCTAGTTATACTCCTAGAACTCGAAAAAAAATATTTCGGAATTTGTACCACCGTAGGGGGGATAGGGTGAATTAAATGTATTAAATTAAATACATTTTCGCCTGTATCTCATCTGAAACTTCCTGTTCGTTGATGATTCTGCTACTCAAATATCTAGTTATACTCCTAGAACTCGAAAAAAAATATTTCGGAATTTGTACCACCGTAGGGGGGACAGGGTGAATTAAATGTATTAAATTAAATACATTTTCGCCTGTATCTCATCTGAAACTTCCTGTTCGTTGATGATTCTGCCACACAAATATCTAGTTATACTCCAAGAACTCGAAAAAAAATATTTCGGAATTTGTACCACCGTAGGGGGGACAGGGTGAATTAAATGTATTAAATTAAATACATTTTCGCCTGTATCTCATCTGAAACTTCCTGTTCGTTGATGATTCTGCCACACAAATATCTAGTTATACTCCAAGAACTCGAAAAAAAATATTTCGGAATTTGTACCACCGTAGGGGGGACAGGGTGAATTAAATGTATTAAATTAAATACATTTTCGCCTGTATCTCATCTGAAACTTCCTGTTCGTTGATGATTCTGCCACACAAATATCTAGTTATACTCCAAGAACTCGAAAAAAAATATTTCGGAATTTGTACCACCGTAGGGGGGATAGGGTGAATTAAATGTATTAAATTAAATACATTTTCGCCTGTATCTCATCTGAAACTTCCTGTTCGTTGATGATTCTGCTACACAAATATCTAGTTATACTCCAAGAACTCGGAAAAAAATATTTCGGAATTTGTACCACCGTAGGGGGGATAGGGTGAATTAAATTTAATACATTTAATTCACCCTATTCCCCCTACGGTGGTACAAATTCCGAAATATTTTTTTTCGAGTTCTAGGAGTATAACTAGATATTTGTGTAGCAGAATCATCAACGAACAGGAAGTTTCAGATGAGATACAGGCGAAAATGTATTTAATTTAATACATTTAATTCACCCTATCCCCCCTACGGTGGTACAAATTCCGAAATATTTTTTTTCGAGTTCTTGGAGTATAACTAGATATTTGTGTAGCAGAATCATCAACGAACAGGAAGTTTCAGATGAGATACAGACGAAAATGTATTTAATTTAATACATTTAATTCACCCTGTCCCCCCTACGGTGGTACAAATTCCGAAATATTTTTTTTCGAGTTCTAGGAGTATAACTAGATATTTGTGTGGCAGAATAATCAACGAACAGGAAGTTTCAGATGAGATACAGACGAAAATGTATTTAATTTAATACATTTAATTCACCCTACGGTGGTACAAATTCCGAAACATTTTTTTTCGAGTTCTTGGAGTATAACTAGATATTTGTGTGGCAGAATCATCAACGAACAGGAAGTTTCAGATGAGATACAGACGAAAATGTATTTAATTTAATACATTTAATTCACCCTGTCCCCCCTACGGTGGTACAAATTCCGAAATATTTTTTTTCGAGTTCTAGGAGTATAACTAGATATTTGTGTGGCAGAATCATTAACGAACAGGAAGTTTCAGATGAGATACAGGCGAAAATGTATTTAATTTAATTCATTTAATTCACCCTATCCCTCCTACGGTGGTACAAATTCCGAAATATTTTTTTTCGAGTTCTAGGAGTATAACTAGATATTTGTGTAGCAGAATCATCAACGAACAGGAAGTTTCAGATGAGATACAGGCGAAAATGTATTTAATTTAATACATTTAATTCACCCTGTCCCCCCTACGGTGGTACAAATTCCGAAATATTTTTTTTCGAGTTCTTGGAGTATAACTAGATATTTGTGTGGCAGAATCATCAACGAACAGGAAGTTTCAGATGAGATACAGACGAAAATGTATTCAATTTAATAAATTTAATTCACCCTGTCCCCCCTACGGTGGTACAAATTCCGAAACATTTTTTTTCGAGTTCTTGGAGTATAACTAGATATTTGTGTGGCAGAATCATTAACGAACAGGAAGTTTCAGATGAGATACAGGCGAAAATGTATTTAATTTAATAAATTTAATTCACCCTGTCCCCCCTACGCTGGTACAAATTCCGAAATATTTTTTTTCGAGTTCTAGGAGTATAACTAGATATTTGTGTGGCAGAATAATCAACGAACAGGAAGTTTCAGATGAGATACAGGCGAAAATGTATTTAATTTAATACATTTAATTCACCCTGTCACCCCTACGGTGGTACAAATTCCGAAATATTTTTTTTCGAGTTCTAGGAGTATAACTAGATACTTGTGTGGCAGAATAATCAACGAACAGGAAGTTTCAGATGAGATACAGGCGAAAATGTATTTAATTTAATAAATTTAATTCACCCTGTCCCCCCTACGGTGGTACAAATTCCGAAATATTTTTTTTCGAGTTCTTGGAGTATAACTAGATATTTGTGTGGCAGAATCATCAACGAACAGGAAGTTTCAGATGAGATACAGACGAAAATGTATTTAATTTAATAAATTTAATTCACCCTGTCCCCCCTACGGTGGTACAAATTCCGAAATATTTTTTTTCGAGTTCTTGGAGTATAACTAGATATTTGTGTGGCAGAATCATTAACGAACAGGAAGTTTCAGATGAGATACAGGCGAAAATGTATTTAATTTAATTCATTTAATTCACCCTATCCCTCCTACGGTGGTACAAATTCCGAAATATTTTTTTTCGAGTTCTAGGAGTATAACTAGATATTTGTGTGGCAGAATCATTAACGAACAGGAAGTTTCAGATGAGATACAGGCGAAGATGTATTTAATTTAATACATTTAATTCACCCTGTCCCCCCTACGGTGGTACAAATTCCGAAATATTTTTTTTCGAGTTCTTGGAGTATAACTAGATATTTGTGTGGCAGAATCATCAACGAACAGGAAGTTTCAGATGAGATACAGACGAAAATGTATT